GTATTAACGCAGTAAGGTTTATAATATTGTTCTCCGTGTAGAAAAAGAGTGGAAGAATATTCAGTGATATCGAGATGCAAAATCATGAAGAAGGATGAAATCTTATCGCATACATTGTTGCTGTGAATTGGTTACAATCTAATAATGCAACAAAGCAGTGATTGTTGAAAAGGTGGAAGGTTAGGAGCGGGGATTTAGATTTACTTGCGTCGCTCGATATTCACCATAGAAGACGAAATGGCTAATTGGGTATCCTTATTTCCATTAGAGAAAGAGATTATACTAAAGGTCGTAGTCGGAACTGCATTATGTGGGTTGATCATGTCAAATCGATTCTGATATGGTAAACGCAGATTTAAAAGACTAACAACTAGTCAAAACCGCCCGTTGGGAGCCGTCTATGCAAGTTTAGTTTGACGGTTTTGTTCTATAAAGTAAATGATAGTTGTCATTCATCACACATTTGTATGGATGCTAGTCTTCAATTAAACCCATTTAAGTGAAAGTTGGAGGGATGGCACAGCTCGGCATAATCAAATACATGTTTGACCTAGCACACAACCTGTGAAGGAAATCAAACCATTGTTTAAAGAAAACTGGTTTAATGAATCAAGCTTAGTAGACAATTCAAGAGCCCTAACTATACGTCGGACGCTGCCCAACCGAGTTCGTCACACTGGTCGCGCCGCTCATCGTAAGCCGCTTCTCATGAGTGTTTGTGTCTGGTAGGCTGTTTATCTTATTCGTTGGCAATTAGAACGCAAGGTACAGATGATAAGCTGATGCGGGCGTAGTATAATACGACTGCGCCCGCATACGTCGCTACTGAAGAATACCCGAGCCCTAATAGGAAAAAGAATGGTACAACAGAACAGGCTTTATTCACCAATCACAAGCCAGAGCCACACGTCAGGTGCCCTCCATCCGAGTCCACCACGCTGGCCACGCCGCTCATTATATACTGCTCCTCAGTCGTGTCCTTCTCTGGTTGGCTGCTTAACCTTCTCGCATGCCATTGGAACACAGAGAGACACAGGATTGGCTGCGGCCAGGTGGTCCAATATGTCTGCGCCCCGATCCGACGCCACTGTAGAATATTCGAGCCCTAATAGGTATGAGACCGGTACAACAGAACAGGCTTTATTGACCAATCAGAAGCCAGAGCCACGCGTCAGGCGCCTTCCATCCGAGTCCACCTCGCTGGCCACGCCGCTCATTATATATTGCATCTCATCCATGTCCTTCTCTGGTTGGCTGCCTTCCTTTCCCAAAAGCCATTGGATCGCAGAGAGACACGGGATTGGCTGCGGCCAGGTGGTCCAACATGTCTGCGCCCTGATCCGACGCCACACCACACTACTGTACGCTTCGGCCCCATGGTATGGTCAAGAAGAGAGCAAGGCAAAAGTGGAGTCGCTTAATAAAGGCTGAAACAAGTCACAATCTGATCGGCCTTACGAGGAAAACAGGGTTTTTGTGTATCCTTGACCTGGTCGTCCTCTTCTCCCGTTGGTCCGTTCCGCGGCTCTGTAACTGAGACCCAAAACTCGCTAGCGGATTGGCCCTCAGTCTTCGGCGCGTCATTCAATCCCCGCGGGACGCCACGCAACAGGAAGTCGCGCCCCCGGTCACATGACGCCGTCACCACGCCGAGCTCTTTGCCTTCGGTCAATGAATAGTCGCCAATATGGCGACTATCAGGCATTCCGCTACACTGCACTTGCAGAATACCCGAACCCAAGTATAAAGAATATTAACAAAACAGATCAGGATTTTTTGACCAATCACAAGACAGAGCCACGTAGCGCCGCCAATAATATGCCGCTTCTCATACGTGTCTGTCTTTGGTTGGCTGCCTATCTTTCTCACATGTCATTAGAATTCAAAAGGTCAGAGGATTAGCTGAGCCACGCGTGGTCCAATTTGTCTGCGCTATTATACGTCGCCATTGTTGAATACCCAAGCCCTAATAGCAAGAAGACAGGTACAACAGAACAAGCTTTATGGACCAATCACAAGCCAGAACCACACGTCAGGCGCCATCCATCCGAGTCCCCACGCTGCATTTCTTCCTTGCATGCCATTAGAACGCAGTGAGACACAGGATTAGCTGAGACCATCGTAGTCAAATGTGTCTGCGCCCTAGACGTCGCCTCACTGCACCGTTCCATGCATGTCTCTACATGATTATCCTGTACTCTCCTTGTTTTTACCCATGAGACCCACCCAATCCCTAATTTTCAAGTTTACATCGAGAAACATCTAAATCACAGCTTTACCCTTTGCAATCTTCCCCCCTTTTGTTTTGTATTTCTCTTTAGAGTAAAATCTTTTGGATCTCAAGCTCTTTTCTGAACGTTTGATCTGTCGTGTGTAGGCTGAGAACTTATACATTTTCGTTTGCATTTGTTCATTTTTGTACAGCAGATCAGAGCCTTGCTCACTTGTCACAAATGGACCTTGTTAGCTTGTCTGGCAAAGTTGCTCTCATTACCGGTAAGGTTGATTTTATTTTTTTTGTTTGGTATTTGCTGAGGTACGTCTTTAAGTTTTAACTCCCTGATTCTAATTCCGCGTTTGTAAAACGAGTATTACTTTAATATTTTTCAATAATTGTATTGAAATTATGTTGTCCACTTTACCTTGGCAATCACTAAGCCTCTTCAGCTAGGGTATGAAGTTGTTAGGATGCTGGAATGCATTCATCGAAATTTAATATTTCCACTAAGCGGGTTCCCTGTCCATTATTTATGCTTATATGCATGTTAGCGCTGTCACTGATGTCTTTAACAACTGACATCCTCCGTTTGAATTGCAATTATCGTGCCTCAGTAATAAGATCTGAATTCTTCAGGCAAAGTACATTTGTCAATTTTGAATTTTAACACCATCACGTAACCCGTGAAAATGTAGTACAATGAAGATTTTGTCGCCTAAATGTAAGGTAGGCATCCCTGCTTTAGGTGCCAGTTCTGGCATAGGACGCGCAACAGCTCTCCTTTTTGCAAAACTTGGGGCCGGAGTCGCCTTGGTTGGACGGAACAAAGAAAACCTCGAAAAGACTCAGCACATGTGCCAAGAGGTGTCCAATCATCCTGATGCCAGCTTCTGTGTAGTGCAAGCAGATTTAGCTGATCTAGATCAAGTTTCATCTGCTTATAGTAAAACGATTGCTCATTTCGGCAGACTCGACATATTGGTTAATAATGCGGGCATTCAAATTAAGGATAGTGTTGACAACTTCGACCCCGCCGCCCACGAACGCCTCATGAATATCAATGTTCGCTCCGTATTAGCTCTCTCGCATTTAGCGGTACCGAAATTGGAGGAATCTAAGGGGTGCATAGTGAACATTTCAAGTGTATCCGGTAACAATTCGGTAAGTTTCCTTTGGCTATTTGTGATCAATTCCGTTAGACTCTGCAGTTAGATTTTGCTAGGAATAATTAACAAAATAGGAGCACGAGAGTTTATAATGTAAGATTTAGTATTTGAATCTGTGTAATTTGCTGTATGTTGTTTGAAAGTGTAATAGAATTGAAAGTAGTATTATTGTAAGTAGAAGGCCAATCCGCTAGAAATGTCGAGTGGTCAACTGCACCGTGTGGCCTTAACAGAGATGATGAAGCCCGGTTTACCGGTCTTAAATGGCTGACGTTTTGAACTTCAACATAGTACATGACTCACTCACTGGTGGATACTTACTCATGTTACTTCGAGTGGCCTAAAATGTAGGACTTTCGTTGCGATTAAATTGACTTATTGAGTAGCTATAATCATGTCGTACAGAATATCGGAAATTTGGAAGAGACAAGGGTGCTTTAGCCCTATGGAAAGTGTTTTTTAATTGCGTGCCACTTGAAAATTGGTTGATGTATTAGGTGGAGGTAAGTTCGTACAGCATGCTATTAGTTATCCTAAGCTAAAGGACTGAAAAATATGGGGTCGTAATGAGGCTCTCCGAAGCAATCTGTAATTTCTTCCGATCTCGTCAGACCCGTCCCTTATGTAACCGTTGAATCCGAATGCACTGGAGCGCTTGTTTCAAGTGTCGTCTTAATTTTGACTGGTCAAATCACGTGTCGATTGTTTAAATTTAAGGATTTCGTTGATAATATTGCTATCAACAGAATCTGGGATGTTTATTAGAGAATGACAACATTGATTTCAGTGTTGGCAGTCGAGTTCACTTGATGCTAGCCTCTGAGGAATACAAGCTAAATTGATTAAACGATCAAGACTACTCATCGGCGTTTACAGGGTAGAATGGGTTCCCCGTTTAATCACATCTCTAGTATGCTGAGGCAACATCCACTATCCATAAAGCATAAACTTGATCTAGACCATTAGTATGGTCTTGAGGTAGCTAACAGCCAAGCCCATTTGGTTCGATGCTTAATCCACATCACCTCACCTCGCCAAATGCTTCTTTCACTTAGTGTAATGAGGACTCCCTGTTGGTTATCCTGTTTTCCCATTAAGGCAGAAATCGAAGTGTAGCATAAAATTAATACTTTTGCTGGCACAATTTTAAGCGCTAACAAGATTTGCCAGAGAAGCCTCCAAAACAAGTGTATCGTGTATCAATTCGTCCTAAATCAATGATAGATAAGGTAGCTGGAAAAGGACGATCTCGATTTGCTTTCTACAAAGTAAATGGTTTTGTGTTGACTCTGGGTCCCCCATATACCGGCAGTTATCGCAAGTTTTTTTTGTATTGGGAAAGTGCCTCTCCCTGTTTTTAATATTAATTAAGCCTTAACTACATTTCCGTTTTAGTTTCCTGGTATCCTTTCTTATGCAATAAGCAAAGCCGCCATAGAACAGTTTACCAGAAACGCTGCCGTTGGTAAGTCCTCTCATATTTAGAAGTGTTCACCTCATCGTACTTATTCGCTCCCTAGTAGAAATTTTTTTGCCATTTTAGAACTCGGGAAAAGGGGAATTCGTGTCAATTGTGTCGCGTAAGTAAAACATTCGCTGTTAGTTTTGGGATCTTACAGGAATTTACTCAAACGTTTCCTATATCAAACTCGTTCTTCTTAGGCAACTCACTAGACCATATAATTTTAGCAACGAATAATCGATGTGACCGCCAACTTAGTAACATTGTCCTCGGGACAAGTATACAATCATTAAATTTCAAAAACGTGTCACCCGATCACCACTGTCACGTTTACTGCATTGCATTTTTGTATGGTTCCTAAAATAGTACCCTTTTGATTTGTCATACAAACTTATTTGCATCCAATTCACTGATTGTACATCGCATGACAACCTATGCACACAGCATTTTTGGGATATCAGTATCAATGGATGTATTGTGCAATGAACTACCTTAAGTGCGTAATCAAGCTCCTCTCTACCCTGTCTTTGTTGCTCCTACTTCACCCTCATTGGCCTTGCCAATTACCTTTGTTGTGGTATGAGTAGGCACGAAATCCCATGAGGCGGAATGAGACGAGAGGATACAGTGGTTTTCAGACGTTATGAGTGCTTGGGGGGAGGGTATTTGCTTGGGGGTGTACGTTCACAGGTGTTTGCATCAGAACTCACCACAGCCCTCGACGAACCACTCATTCCGACGTGTACAGACGCCCTGTGACTATCGGTAGGAAGTTGTGTTGAAATCGTTGAGAACCTGGAACGAGGCGATTCGGTCCGGCTCCTAGTAGATCAATAGGTCCATTTATTTGCCTCCTTAAGCTGTCTTTGGCCGATCTCTCGGTTTTGTTTCCGATCGGCCATCAACTCTTGTGCTAAATGCTGTGCTAATACAAACTGATTGGCTATTCGTAATTTTATTCTTCGTGACGTCTTAACTAATTTTATCGAAACGGTAAAAAACTGAGCCTACACTTGTAACAGGTGCGGTTAAATTGTCAGCGAAAATCTTGCATTTACAAATCTATTATAGCCTCCGTAATACTATTAACAATAATAAATACAGCTAATGTTAAGGTTGAAAATGTGAGCACAAATTGCCCGAGCAAGAATGAACAGCGTCAAATTGTAATCAGTGTATTACTTAAACTGCGTAATAAAATTTCGACACAAGTGCTTTCCTGATTACGATCTCTTCAATTATTGGCAGTTATTCAGGATTTGTGGGTGGGAGTGTTACCTTGAGACCCGAGACTCCATTGGTCGATAAACCATGCCGACTGTTGTTATTCAAGCTGTTTCCACGACTTTGTCAATGTGTTTTTTTTGTATTTTCAGGCAGTGAGCTGTTTAGTGGAATAAATTGTAGCTATCTGTGAAGCTTGTAAAATTAGAATACGTCTCTCTGAATAGTAACAGGAAATTCTTTTAGGGTTTTGGCAGTGACGCCTGGATCATCTCGCATGTATTAGCATGTGGTTTCGTTCAATTTCATTGGATATGCGTTCTAGTGTACTATTCATGTAAGAATTGCCTACGGGGAATAATGCACTCTCCTGAAATACTACAAATGTGTGATCAACTTTAAAGGTTGTGATTTGCACTTAAGCTTTTGAGTCAGACGCCTGCTTTTTGTAATTATCAATTGATATTGACTACACGTTCCCTTTTCGTCGTAATTGTGTATATTAACTCTTAGAAAGTTGCCACAAACCTTCAGTAACGTGCGGTGAATATCCTTAGAGACAAAACCTTGATGTCGGTTCTGTTCACCCTTTGCTTGTTGGATACGCTTGATTACTTGCAAGAGGTCTCAATCTTAGGTGACTAGCTGTACAATTTTTTGTTATGTCCTCGATTTAATGATGTAGTCACTGAAGGTCCTTATCGAGTCCTTCACCAAGAAGAACCCAGGGCGCACATCGAATAGTGCGGTTCCGGGCCTCCAGATGCTCCAGCACATTGCAAAATAAAGCAGTCGGTGGACCCAATGCTAATTCTCCATTTCAGGCCAGGCGTGATCGTCACTCAACTTCACAAAAACGCCGGCATGTCTGATGCCGAGTATGCCCAATTTCTAGAGCGATCGAAGAACAACAACCTAATGGGCCACCCAGGGAACGCGGAGGAAATTGCCAAGGCGATTGTCTACCTCGCTAGTGAAATGGGTTCGTTTGTCACTGGCGAGACCATCTTCGTCGACGGAGGGTGGTCAAAGATGTGCCCTCGCTAAGACCATCGGCCGTCTCAACCCGAGTGTCATCAATCCAATCTTGCGCCTCGTAGATAAATAGGTCTATTAATTTGTACCTTTATATCGACTGGTTGATTGTGATTTCCCTGAATGGACCACAAAGGGTCTGCACTACTAATTGATTCCGTGAATTTAATTAAATCACACCAAATCTGATTATTGTTTCTCAAACAACAATAATTTTGAAATGATCTACTCGGGACCTGAATTTTTCGGTACATATTTACAGCGGTCTGTTATGGCCATAAATTGGTCTGCACCGTGTGGATTCGTGCATTCACTGTGCAGGGTGATATTGACTACACTTCTGTGCTATTCGAGATTATGCTCACCAAACTGCTTGCGCCGTGGTTAGCAGATGCGATTTCTTAAAAGACGGGTTTTGTGTGAATTGCACTCTCGAGTCTGGATGAGGATAAGGTAGGAGTTCGTCGAGCAATATTTCCAGGCGACCCTGAAAGACCTAATTTTAACATGAAACGTGCTGGTTTTTGTTTTTCCGGTAGAATTCAGTTTGGTTAACGGTGTACAAATGTGCTGCGTTTTTTTCAGCCAATGCTCTCTATCAGGTCCCATTATCTTTCCTTGACATATACGAAAGTGCTGTTCGCTCGGTCTTTGATAAATTTACTTAGTAACTGTATTCACACTTTTGCTCTTCGCTTCCTCCATTGTATCCGTCTCCGATTTTGTTAACGTACAGTTTTCCAGGTCTCAGTAGAAGAAAATGTTGGGAGCGGGTGCTTGCTAGCAAATCTAGCGAATGAGCGTCATAACAAAGTGGCGGAATCACCAGAGGCAGTAGTCAAACATTCTCCAGATCATCAATCGTTTTCTCCAAAATTTTCTTTCCAACTTCATTTCCCGGTTGGTTACATACCAAAGAAATATGAGAACGTCGGTTTGTCACTTTGGCTTAGTAGAAACGGGGAGGTGGTGAGTAGGCAGGCAAATGCTCAGCCTTCTTCGAGCGCTATCCTCAGCGCTTCCATTTTTCCAGGGGCGCTTTAGTAGTTCCGTTTGGTTGTTTTAAGTTTTTTTCCAACCACCTTGAATCACCGTTCACCACGGGTTTTGTTAGTCTTGTAAAATGTGTCAACATTTGGTTCGTCTGAAGAACACGAAAACCGTAGCATCCGATGGCATGTTTGGAATACAATCACGGCCCTGATTTACTCTACCCAATGTCGCCTTCGTGAAATTTGTTTTACCGAAAGTTGTCTTCTGCTGGTGCCCAATCATGATTGTCTATGTGTATCTGCTGATTTGTTACGAGTCATTTTTGGCATTGCTTCATGAGCACCGACTTGCTTTTGGATGCAGCTTCAACCATCCAGTCCAATCGATTTCTTCATATACGTAAATTCGCACTGCTAACCTAATCGTAACCAAGTTCTCCATCAACTCAAGTGCATGAAATGATGGTTGAGTTGCGTGTCGAAATTTTGCAGCTATTAAAGGATCAGACAAAAAACAGACTGAACACTCACTTTTTAGGTCATCCAAATCCAGATTCAAAAATTTCGCATAACTGAGCATTCAATTGATCTACAAACCTGCTATTGATACCTATGGACAGTAAAATTTTTGCACCTGAGACAGCGCCGACGTTTATTGACCAGGTGGTAATTTGAAGAAAAATACAAAACATGTTCTATTTGTAGTCAAATCGAGACTATTTCTGTACAATTATAGGAAACGGCTAGTCTAAGGTAAAGGGGTCAATTAAATTCCTGGAAAAGCCAACGTTGGTGTCTACAAGGGATCTACTCATAAGAGAGATTCGGTCTTGCTACCATCATATACTTCGTAAGTGCTGTTAAGTGGCCGTGCGATAAGTTCTCACCTGCTGATTGCAAGTCTGCATCTCACTGACTGGCAAGTGAAGAAACGAACTCGTGTGTTTGCCGACTCTTCACTTCCTGCCGCGTTTTGGGTGAAGTTGGAGGTTTAGTGACAAAAAACCAGTTCCGCTCCGCTACAAAGCAGCATGACAAAGCACCCCGGTGATTCGACGTGCACCATACACTTTGTGGATTTTCGATTAGAGTTGATACCCACTAAAACGTACTAAGCACTGTTGGAATGTTTTGCTATATAGTGCAATTCTCAATAACACGGGTGTTTAACTGTCGCAGCATTTGATCAAATCATAATTACTGCGTTACAAGTGGTTTTATTAAAGTTTGCTGGATTCCGGCTTAGTTAATTATACCCAGAGACATTGATTTTATAATGATTACGGACAACAGATGACGACTGCCGACTATTATTATTATCAACAGGCTGTTAGACGACAACAGCAGCACAATAGACGGGGACTGAACACAATTTGTTAATTTCTAATCGTTATCCAATCAGGGATATCTTGTCGTCAAGACCTCCTACTCACCATTTAGAGTTGTCATCTTGAAATGAGGAAAATTCTTGAGAAACGCATTGCCATGTTTGGCTCAATCTTTAACATCCATAATTTTTGAGGCTGTATTCATCAGGAGTTATAATTCAATTTAAATGAACTATAATGCCTAATAATGAAATAAATTTTTGGAAATGCATAAAAATATCCTATAAACTGATATAGATTTTCATCTCATATAGCATTTACTACAATATATTCATCGCCATACTGATCTAAGTCTAACTGTCCGTATTTTCTGATTCTGTCTCTTGTTAAGTTCCAATGCAAAAGATCACGCAACTTCGAAAAAAGGTAAACAGTTTACAGCCTTTTTTAAAATACAAATTATGCTAGTTTCATTTTTGAGTGTGTTCTTGCGTTGCACTTGATCTCAAACTCGGGTTTACTAAGAAGCCTGCATAGAGATCTGTTTATATGTACCCGCCTATTGGTTCTGAATAACCGACGTATCGAGGGAGGAAGTATGTCTTTTTGACTGCAATGATTACAGTTTTAGGAACAAACAAGATGTGCAAATGATGTTGAAAGGAGAATTCGGAAAAAGTTTTGAATTCAATGGTACATGTTATGGAAGAAATATATAATGCTGGCGATTCATGTGCGCATGGTGTCACGTGGAAAACCAGGAAAAATAGCTCTGTGTGATGGGTGTGATCAAACCACACTGCCACCGATTTATAACAAAATCGGCATTTGAAATAGAAAATCAGTTAATTGAATATTCATTCTAAAAGCAGTGGCAAAACCGCTTTCAGGTATCATCATCTGCTAGCAACCATTCCGAGTGTAAAATACTTGAGATAATTTTCTTTTACATCGTTCGTCAGAAGTGAGCATCTACCAAATGCCTCCAGGCTATTGGCTATGGCCACGGCTCATTAAGCCTTCTATTCATTCAGGTTGTTATATCAACCTTCAAATGTAATGTTTTCTCTAATTGTTGTTTAATACGACGGAAGCTTTCCCTAATTTTTAGTAAATCTAATTGACGGGAATGGTAATGGCAAACTTATTGAGGTTTCATTTTAAACTTTAGCAAACAACGATTCGTGCGCCTTATTATGTTGTCTCACCAAGCTTTAACATTTAAAAACGACTCTGAACGCTCCCTTCGCCATTCTGTCCTCCAGTCGCGTAAACATTAGTTGGACTTTATATCCTAAAATTTGGCATTTATCCCAGCCAGTAACGTTTAAGAAATCGGTGTGCATCACTTTAACTTTCCACTAGCCCGATTTTTTGAAGTCGATTTTAATGTGCTGCGCCGCATAAATGTGAGGTTTCTAAATGGTGTATAAATTACTTACATGTATCGTAATTGAATAAATCCGAACCCTCTACAAGAGAAATTTATCTGAGATTTTGCGACAAAGGTTGGCGTTCATTAAGCTTTTGAAATCCCAGCTAACCCTAACATTTTATTTCTTTAAAAGCCATTTCTTTGGGGTGCCTAACAAACGCTTGAAAAAAAAACAATTTCAATCCATCAAATGAGTCTGCTACGGGAGGCGAGACGCAATTAAGCGTAAAAGTTTGGCTGCCTATGCAAGCAGGCGTAAGGAATTCATCAGTGAATCCACAGAAACCCGTCACCGGACTCGAAAAGATGGGAACAACGTGAAATTCTGCAGAGAACACAAGTTCGAGTACTCTTGAAAGGCCAAAAATGTAAGGCTACAGGCGCGACGTCTTAGTTGATGATGTGGATTGATTTGTTACTGCGCGTTACTGACGCTAGCGCTTTAGTAAACGATTTCACCTCTCAACACTTTTGTAACCTATTCTTTCACATCTTAAAATTTTATCGTTGGATGAAATTTTATTTTTCTTTCATTGCATGGCGGTAACTCGCGTCTGCGGAAATGCTGCAGGCCTTTCCCACAGTCACATGCGATTACGTCACTCACAAAAAGTAGCTGTCAGTTCAACATATGCCTTAAGTTCATATCTAGGTAAAGCCTGCGGTGACTCATTTTGGCGTCGGTAATCTAAAAAAAGTCGACAACATTCTCAACGTCCTTCCAGTATAGTAATTGCTTTCCCCTTTTTGCAATTGGTGATTCTAGTGCACCGCAGTTTAAATTGCTTTGGAAATAATTATTACATTACGGTACAAACACATGGATGAGAACTCCGGAAGCGAACCTGGTCAGTTTAGGTGGTGTCTTATGTTGATGACGAAAATTCCACTACGAAAGGGAACTTGTTTGAAACAAAAACCCACTGATTTTATGCTTTTCCAAATACGAATGTGCCTGCCACCGTTTAAACTAAAGTCAGACACAACTTTAGATGAAAGTGTCCAAGCGCGTGGAAGTGCCTTTAATCACTACAGCTCTTAAACTAGGTGATAAATCCGAAGCATCCACTAGGACAACTAGACTTCGAGATGAAGGATTCACGAAGCCCCAAAAAAAGTATTCCGAAGTTGCTGCTCAATTGAATGGAAAAGACGTCAAAAGCAGTAGCTGTGAATCGTGTTGATTCACACACCTTAATCTGGTCACTCCAGCCTCCGACACAATATCTCCCTCTTCATCAACCTCGCGGAACCCGAACTCCCCCTCATTAGTGCGAACGATAATCCTGGATTATCACAACACCTATGTCTCGAAGTTCGGACACACATCTAAGTTATAAATACGCGAAAATGCCACCAACTTGGTTGAGCCCTAAAATAAACGGTTGCGTCAACGTCCCCTCCAGTCTTCGACTTCATCGCGGGTAGCGCAATAGGACCAGATTCATGTCAGTGGCCCCAGTGCGGTTCAAGACCATACGATGGGACCTCCAACACAGTATTCTTTACGCCCATCGACTACTTCAACATAACTATTAAAATATTGTTGTTAATTACGAAGTGTAGTAGGAATGGGTACTAAGGCCTACTCGTTAAAGAAAATCCTTACATTATAAAGACGAAGATGGAACTGGACTTGCCGTACTTAAAAGCTAAACTTGAGTTAAGATACCTCAGAAAGAAATACAAATTGAAGGCGTATTTTAGTAAAAGCAATATTTAATAAAAACCAAGTTATCAAAATCCGTTGACGAGTAAAAATAATAAAGTATTTGCCAAAGAGATTCCTCAATATGGGTGCACCATGAAAGTGAATGTTTCTTTATGATGATTAGGTAGAAGACGTCGAACACCTGGCAGTCTCAAACACTCCTGTCGCAGACGCGCCATCGACGAATTAACAGAAAAAGACTCGAGTAGATCAGGTGGGACACCTGCCGGGGTCTGATTGTGCTTCTCTGGAGACACGTGAATCGGCGGACGGCCTGAGAGACGCACCACCATGTCCGGCAAAACCACCTCAGCACAACTTCCCGTTGAAGATATCAACCCGCTCAACTTATCCGGAAGAAGTTCAAGCAAACGCACAACAAATACCTTCAAAAAACGAAGGCACATTAGCTTGGTAAAATTTAGAATTACGCATACGTTTGAAGCTAGACTTATCACTTTCTGTTATCTGGGCGGATATGCCAAAACATACACACTTGTTCACCTTAGATAACAGAAAAAGTGCAGAAAAACAAAAATGGACAAATGACTTCCGATGGGGCTGGAGGATCTAACGTGGTTACAGAAGACCTAACGAGTTCTATTTCTCCTATAAACAATACAACAGTCCCACAATTCGTTTCGAGTTTTTTTTGTTTCCTCTGATTACATAACGGGTATAAAATTTCCAAAACCACATCAATGTTTTCATATTACGCAATAATATTTGACATAATTGTAGTTGGTATTGAATAACAACTAACCAATCAAAAAATTGCAACGAATAGGAAAAGAACATGAACTCGTGTTACGAGTATGAGAGGTATGATTGTCTCGGTTCTTCGTTTAAAACTCAGACCAGTTGGTGAACCTGTTTGCATTGCAGACGTTGACGTCAGAGTCCCTACAAATTTTATCTATTCTACTATTGCCTATCGGATCTTTCAAATGTCACCATTAAACCTAGGAAATATAGTACGCGAGCTAAATGGAAAACTTCAGAACAAACAATTACAAAATCGATTCAACATTAACGGATGAGATTTAAGCACAGCATCATGCTGAAGCTTCGCGAAACCATCTTACTTTATGGAAAAAAGCTAGGTCAAATGACGCCTCCTCAGAATGGGATTTCGTTGGCTGAATAGAGGGGATCGTCACGACTCGGTTCGGATGTTGGCACCAAGCCTATAATAAAACATCCCATTCGAGAGTTTATTATATAACCTACCTGATTAAACCATGTGCCTTTGACAAGACTCGTTAGGAAAACATTTGCCTGACTGAGCAAGTTTTCTTTCAATGTACCAGTGACTTGTTACTCACACTTTCATTGATGATAAAAAAGAGAATATACATAAAAACACTATGACAACCCTAAAGTAACGAAGTTTAATAAATGGTACCATCGAACCAAGCAAGGGTATCATCATGAATTTTACCTGGTTTCGCATGTTATTTATAATAACGTAAGCTGATTACGATTGATTTTAGGCAACTATCACGAAAAAACTGATGGAAAATAAGCAGAATTACCTCGTAAGCGAAATCAACTGCAGTAACGTCAGCGGGTATAAGAGCATGTTCGGTAAGAAATAAGAAGCTGCTGAATTTTGTTTCGGGTAACCGAAGAACCGACTGTTCTTTTGAATTATAGAGGGGAGGCAACACATGAACAGTCACGTTGCTCAGTAACAAAAAGACGGCTGAAAATAAGGTTCTCTATTAATTATTAAACAAAATGCTGTTACGGTTTGGGAAAAAAACCTACACGACGCAAGACTGTCAGGTTCACCGAGCCAAATAATGTAGGCCTCCTGCATATACCTTGATTGTGAAATGCGGCTCAACAAAGGCACCAGATACTTGATGTGGCTTTTCGTCGCAACGATGAGTGCATAGCCATTACAAATAGCGTCGCCGTTTGAAGGAAATGAAACCTCAGAAGGCACTTCTTGCTAAAAGAAATGGGCGATTTTTAGAATCTAATGGCCAGGAAATGAGAGTAAATAAAGGGCACTAACAAGTGATGAGCTTGGGTCGTTCCACTCATTATACGATTTGGCATAATGCGGAAAGACACGGCTGTTTATGATATCCAGTGTTGTTTTGGCAATCGCACCTAGCGAAGACATGTACTTAGAATAAAAAAAATTGACATGTCTTCGAAGGTAAGTAATCTCATCAGTAGAGTGAGATGAAATAACGTCAAAAAGATTATCCAAATGTCCTTTTGGAACGCTCAGAGAACATCTTAAATTAAAAACAAACATTAAATATGAATTTTTAGCCAACTATATCCCGTAAACAATATACTGAGAGCGTACTTTGTCCAATCAAGCTTTTCTGAGAAAGGCAAGATGGTATCGGAGCTTAAGATGACCGGAATACAGCCTGCTTTCATGGCATCAAATAAGAGTGTGTTGGGGGCTTGTATTTGATCAATCAGACAAAATAAACTGGATGAGAGAACAGTTTCGTATGCAAGTGAGATCCGTTTGCAAGAAAGATCCCTTGATCGATATACTAAGAAGGGCTCAGATTGATCATTTGTATGAACAATAATTGACTTTGGCAGTTCATCGTTCACTTCACGAGGTTGTTGGAGAAGTCTATCAATATCACTTTTAAGAGAAACTGAAAACTGATTTTGCACGATTGCTATTAAATACTGTCGTCTAAAGACCTTTTAGGATTTGAGAAGTTCCTTACTCAGAAAACGTAGCAGCGTCAGGTTGGAAACTGCTTATGATTGGAAGAGAAATATCGTATGTACTTCTATAATCAGGTTTTTGGAATCCACTGCCAGCAATCATTCCAGGAAAACGTTGGAGATTGAAGCGTTTAGTATCGAAGGCATGGGAATCCTCAAGAGCAAACACAAGGTGATTACGATAATTGTTCATCCTGAAATCAAACATGGTTATTAAAGGAACCACATTACCAAGGAAAAGACAGGAACATCTTAAGTAGTTCTGAAGAAGACAATGACTGGCTGTTGTCAAAGTTCATTGCAGACACAAACAAGCACGCTTTCTCCGGGTCATGTACGGCGTATTCGCTTGTATTTACAGCATTTAACAACTCCCGAAAATTTTCACTACCATGATAGCTAATGTGATTATTGTTTCCATCGAGGAACAATAAATCCGGATATACGAACACTCGAATCCGACCTGGACGTTCATTCGGATATTCGTATTCACAAGATTCTATGCTGAAACATGTGTGGTGTGAACAGCTACCGTAGAAATGACTGTGAGGCTTGTACAAGCGCTGAGTAAGAGTCACAAAATCACTAACTGACTCTCTGTATTTGAACGAGAGTAGAAGTGTGACGATCCAGATGATTACAAATATGACAAGGCAATGTCTGAACTTCAAAAATCTATTCTTTAAAAGCCTATGCAACAACGCTGAAGCTTGAGAGAATGAACCGCTGACCAGAGATTGACAAAACATGCCACAAGGAGCTGCCTCAACAAACCCCCAGAAATCAAGGCACAAATGTGATAAATTTATGTACAGCGCACACACATTGAAAAGATTAAAACTGCGTGGGACATCAAATACAATGTTAATTCACTCATTTATTAAACCATGGGGCCTATAAAGATCCATTAAAGTCAGATGCACATTCGATCCAAATTTATCACTAAGAAGGCACCCACCTCTAAGGCCTAATGCCTTTGATGCGAACCAATTTTCGTGTTAAATCCTCCAACATCCACAAAATTACGTTAAGTGTATGGAGCATATTGTTTAGTTCGTTTATCTTCAGAAATACAAAAGGGGAATATGAAGGTTTTGCTGAAAGGTTTAATAATTAGCCTCTATCACACAAAGTGTCCGTTTGAATTGCAATAAATGCAAAATTGATTAAAAGAAATTTTCACATGCCATTAGTTGTCCTTGTTATTTACATGAACTATTTACTTAAAAAATTAAAGAAGCATTTAAGGACATTGCATCATACGTTACTAAAAAGAGGGATAATAATTATATTCGCCAGTTTATGCAATGTAATCCAGCCGTTCTGAAACTTATTCTTGTATTCATATATTTTACAGCGTCTGCTCAGTGTTGAAATTCTCCTGAAGGCAAGTCTGTATGGACTTGTTATTGACACATCAAAATGCATGAGAATTCGAACGTGAATTCGGAATCAATGCCTCAAGCTTGTCTGCCATTAAAAGATAAGTAAAATCGCTCAAAAATTTACAATACTGGTATAATAGAACACCCCCTATTTACCAAATTATAATCCAGAACTGCACACCAGGTGCCATCGGTCCGAGTCCACTATACTTTCCTTGTCTCTTATTGTATGCAGCTTCTCGTCCATCCTTATCTTCATCTGTCCACCGATCATTAAAGCACGCCGTTTCGACTCACAACGCCAGGAGATTACCTAAGACTGCCTTCATCTAAGTCCGACAAGACATTAATAGCGCCGGCGAGCAGTTTTGTCTAATTCTGCCTTAGCTAGTTTACGCAGACTAACATTCAACTTGGATATAATCTGCAATATGGCTGTAATTGGCAGGACCGCACGTATAGAGTATGATGGCCAAGACGTATTAGTACACAATGCAGTCAAGTGAGCTGTAAATGTTTCACTCAGACCATAGTGCCTGCGCTTCGTGGCTTCTACACAATATTTCCTAATGGGTCGGCTTGGGAGAACCCGTACATTGACTATCGCATAGAGGATTTATGTGAAGAGCCTCCAAATCGTGACTGTATTTGATTCTTGGTAGTAATAGCTACGTCTGCTGTTGATCCTAGTTAGCTAAACACAGCATCTTTATTCTCTCGCCTTTAACCCGGGAGGAATTACTCCTTGAAGCTACACTGACTTTTACCTCTGGCCACGCTGCAATAATGGCCAGTGATACTTTGGAGCTACATTATCATATGGATTGTGATTTAACAGGAGTCAGGAGTCCATATCATCGGCCTATTCTTCAATGTTATATCTCTGTTTGAAATGTGGCGACGTCTGTTGTTTTCCTTCACCTGTTCTCACCTCGATTTATTTCAAAGGTTTTGGGGTACGTGACCGTCTATACGATGGTTTATTGCAAACATTTGTCGGTACCGTTCCTCTTTTCACTAAAAGAGAAAAGCACAGAAGAAAGAGCATTTATTACGGGAAGAAAAGAAGT